CTCGGGCTCGCAGGGTGCCGCGCCGACCCAGCTCCCTCGCGGCGGCGGCGGCGGCGGCGGGCGGCGGCGGCGGCGGCGGGCGGCAGCGGCGGCGGCGGCGGGTCCCGGTCTCGGCTCTGCGCGCCCGCGCTCCCGGCGCCCGCAGCCAACAAGTTCGGGACAAGACTGACAGCTCGCTCGCCCATTCGTCACCCGCGCACCTGCATATGCATGAGGGGGCGGGGCCGCGCCGCGGGGTGGGGCTGCGGGGGGGGGGTGCCGGGGGCGCCCAGGATTTAAAGGCGGCGGAGGACTCCTCCTGCCAGCGCCTGGATCCGGCGCACGCTTCCCGGCGCCCTCGGGCGGCGGGGCGGCGGCGGCGGATCCACTAAAGCCTCCGCCGAGCCGGGAGAGCGGCGCTGGGCGCCGCAAAGCGGCTTCCCCTCGCCCGATCCCCGCCGGGTGTCAGGAGCCAGGGGGTGGGGCGCCCCCTGAGGTCACCGCCGTGGTCCCCTCCTACCGGTGCGCCGCCGCCGCGCTGCTCGCGGTCCCAAAGGAGATGCCGCCTCCTGCGCAAATCAGGGCTCGGCCGCACGCGGGGCAGGCGCGGCCTGGGACCCGAGCCTGCCCGGCTCTGCTGCGCGACCCCCTTCCCCTGTGAGTGCCCCAATCCGTGCCGCTCCTACCACCTCCACTCCTACCACCTCCACTCCGGCCGCAGGGGGCGCTGCTCCCCTCCCACCCCCCGGCGCTCCCCTCCCACGCCCCGGCCCTCCCCGCCTCACTGCCGGGGGGTCAGGAAGCCAGGGAACGAATGTTCCTCCGCGCAGACTGTGTGCCCAGTTCGGTGCTGGTGCGGGGCTCGCCAGGCCATACTTTCGAGGAACGCCCAGGATGGGTGTCGGGGCTTGGGCGGGGCGGGGCGAATAAAGGACGGTAGTGCACCCCCAAAAGGACAAGGTGAGGGCCGCCCAAAGAGGCTCCTGCTGCTGTACCGGTCGCCAGGCCCCCATATCCCACCCTCTGTCATCACCTTGTTGCCCTCTACTGGAGTAACCTCGCCTCGCCTCCGCCGAGGCTCCTTGTCTCCAAACATCCCAGCCTCTCCGCCAGTCAGCGTCCCTTTCAGGGCTGGAGCTCGCCTTTGCCGTTAGGGATACCGCTTCGGTCCAAAGGGGTCTTCCCGCTCAACCTCCGTAGTAACTGGGCTTTCTTCATTCTCCTGGCTCCTCCGGCCCTGGGCTGGATGCTGGGGGGTGCAACCCCTGCCTGGAGCTAGTCACTGCTACAATTTGGGGGGTGGGGTGGGGCTGGAAGCCTTCCTGGAGGAAGAGAGCTTTGAAGGAGGCCAGGTTCAGGGGCAAGGGCAATGGCAGAAGGAACTCAGGAGCACAGACACTGCCCTCTCTCACACTAGGATATGTAGGCGCAGCAGCAGCCTAAGGGGCCTAATGCCCTGGTTTCACCGCCCAGCCTGCGGGTCCAGGCCTCAGGGGCCTAAAGAAATGGGCCTGGCTTTGCTCACTCCAAGCGCCCATCCCTACCTGAGCCCCCCTGTAGGCTGGGAGGGGGCAGGACACAAGCCAGGCACCGCCATGCACAGTGACCCCCACCAAATAAGGGAATGTGAGCTGTGTTCAGAGCCTTCCAGTTGCTTTCTTCCTGAGGGTGGGTAGCGGTTACTGCTGTGGGGACAGGGGGTTCCCCGGGGAGAGGCTTCCTCCTCTTTGCTCTGGCCCAGAGACAGTACTGAGTACTGGAGGCTCTGTCCCAGGGGTCCAGGGCTCCAACCCTGCCCATGCCCACTGTCCTACACCCACCGCTCTCCTGCACTCATCAAGCGGTGAGCAAGGCTGACACAGCCAGTGGGGGCTGGGGGGTGGGGTGGGCAGAGAACATAGACAAACAATGCAGAACAGCAAACTGTAAGGGTGAGGCATGCAGCAGCACATGGGGAAGAAGCCTGCTGAGACCCAGAGGGAAGGCCAGGGTCAGCCAGGTGAGGGGCTGGGAAGAGCACATGCAAAGGCCCTGGGGCCGAGGAGCACACATGGCCAGGGCAGAGCAGGTGAGGGGCAGAGGGGGAGGCTGGAGGTGGTGGTGAGTGCCGGCTGTGCTGGGCCTGCCTGGCTAGAGTCTTCCTGCTAAGGCTGACGGGAAGTCACAGAAAGCAGCTGAGCTGGGTTGGGCTGCACGTTTGTGATTTACGTTGTCACAAAGATCCCTGGCTTGGGGGGGAGGGGCAGCACAGGGCGAGGTCAGACAGGGAGGCCATAGGCAGCCACTGCCATAGTGCAAACGAGAGGGGCCGGTGGCCGGCCTTTCCGTGGAGAGGTGGAGGAGGGGGGACTTCCAGCGCAAGTAAGAGGCGGAATCTGGAGAAGAGCCCCCCGCCGTGCGCCCCTCCCTCGTCCGAAGCTTCCTGCTCCTGGCCAGCTGTGGGAGGAGACGATGGCCTGGACTAGCTCACACGGCGGGTGGTGTGGCTGACGCTGGGCTTGCTGTGCCGCCGGTTCCAGAAGCTGCTGCATTTCAGCTGAGGCTCTTCCCCTGCTCAGGGCCGTCTTCGGCACGAAGGCACCAGTGAGGGATGCTCACCCATCCCAAGGTTCCAGCTCCACCTGCCAGGGGACGTGGCCACCCTGGAGCCCTTCCCACTGGCCAACCCTGCCTCAGGGATACAGGGAGCCCCCGCCCGCCCTGCAACCCTGGGGAGACAGTGGTCCGGCCCCATCTGCCTCCAGCCAGGCCCTTTGGGAATGGGATGGGCTCCCTGCCTCCCGGCCCAGGGAACAGAAACCCCCTCGCGCTCATGGTCCCCTTCCCCCTCCTGCCCCCTAGAAGCCACAGCCCAAACCTAAGGGACTCAAGACAGGAAGCTGGCCTCTTGAGGGAAGGCATTGGGGCTGCTGGCAGAGGGGATCCTCCCTCCTGGGGTCCCCTCCTACAGGGATTTCTGCACCCCTTGGGCCAGAGGGCTGGAGATCCAGAGGCAGCCAGGCTCCTGCCTCTTCCCTTGCTGGGCCAGGCTGCCCTGCCTCTTCCAGGAGGACCCCCAGCATTGTTCTGGGGCCCACTGGGCCACAACACCCCTCAGTCTCCCCGCCCCACCTGCCCCCTAACCCAAGGGCTCCCTCTCCAAGCGCCTCACACCAGGCAAGTTCTGGGATGGGTCTCAACTTGTGCCGGACAAGGCCCAGACGAGGTGGAGGCCTCTCCGCCTGGCCAGGGGGCTTCGGCACCAGGCCGGGGTACAAGCTGCTGGGCGTTTGGACAGAGCCGGCTGGGCTCAGGAGTGAGCTGCGCTTCCGCCCATGTTCTGCGGTGCTAAATATAGCGGCCAGGGAGGGGAGTTTCCGGTTACAGCCCCCCCACCCCTGTGCCGGGAAATCAATGCCAGCTCCATTAGGTCCGGCACTGGTGCCTGCTGACCCGCCCCATCGGGCTGCCAAGCAGAGTGCGGGGCTGGACTGCACCCAAGTCCGCGGCCCTGCCCCCAGCCCCCGCCCCGCCAGGCTGGAGCCTGGCATGCTCCCCAGGGCACAGAGAGCCCCCAGCCCCAGCCAGTACCCACTAGGGGCCCCTCTGAGATGGTGGGCAGCGCCTGCAGCCCAGCCCAGAAGGCCAGCGGAGCTCAGGTGAGTATCAGGCAGTCCGCAAGACACAGGCAGGGTGGGGCATGCTGCCCTGGGAATTCTCCAGGTGTCCTGGGGCCCGGGGCGGCCCACTAGGCCTCCTCTGGACGGGGCGGAGCTGGGCTGCTCAAGACCCCAGTGCAGCGCGACCCTGCCGGCCCCCTGGACGCACACCCATGCCTGAGTGCCCCTCCCCAGCAGCGTGTCACTGCCTGGCTGGGCTCCCAGGAGGCCCCACCTGGGTGGTCCCACCTGGGTCACAGCCGGCATTTGCATACAGGTGATGCTGCTTGAGTGGGCCCCTTGGGCGCAGCTGTCCCAAGGCAGCCTCGAATGCCAGGCTCGGGGGCTGTTGGCACTGAGCCACTCCCGGCGGGGCTCAGCCACACACACTCCGAAGGCCAGCAGGAAGGAAAGTGCCCGCCTGCCTGGGGTGGGCCTGGGGCGGGGCAGGGGGCACAGGAGGGCAGGGTGACCTCAGCCCCGGGGAAGTGCCCCCACCTGACAGCAGGGTCTCAGCGGAAGCCAGGGCAGCATGTCCTGCCTTGGCATCCTCTACCATTCCAGCCCAGGGTCCAGTCCCAGGGGACGCTGGGCACAGGGCACGAAGTCAGGTTCACGGCAAAGCTCCCGGTCACTCCAGCTCCCCAGTCCCCACCTGCCTGCCGGGCAGCATCCCCTGGACACCTTGCCCTCTCCAGGGTCAGTGGACCATGACCCAGGCTGCCCCCGTCCCATCCCCTAGGGCACTGCCCAAGGGGGTGACCAGCACACGTTCTTCATGGTGGGCTCCAGCCCACCCGTTATGTACAGAGGCCTCACTCGGTGCCTGGCTGAGCAGACATCCAGCCCTCCTGCGGCCCCAAGTGCGTGCCGGTGTGCAAGGCAGGGGTCCTACGGGGCTTTCAGGCTACACCACACACAGGTTGGCAGGTGGAGTGAGACCTCATCACCAACACAGGGGACACAGGGCTACTGAGAGCCCCAGTCACGGAGGGGACCCCTCACTGGCCCCAGAAGCAGGGAGCACGTGCCTTGTGGGTTTGTCCACATCCTCTCCTGACGTGGCTGGCGCAGCCACCACTCCTAAGGCCACAGCTCCATCCATTGCCCAGTACTCAGTGGACCCTGAGCGCTTGACATGGCTGAGCCCCTGTCCCCAACCTCTCCTACCCCCAGAAGTGGCACTGCACGGCACCATCCTCCCTGCCCCCCACTCAACCTGGGGCACTACCCAGGGCCTGGCCTAGCCCTCTGCCAGCCGCCAACTCCCAGTTGCCCCCTGCACAACCTGCAGGCTTCTGCCCCGGTGGAGCTGAGGGGCTTTCACGGAGACCGCACCCCAGCCCACCACGGTCACAGCTCGGAGTCAGTAGACACAGGCTAGAGCTACACCAGCCTTTATTAGGTTTGCGGAGCAGGTGTGCAGAACTGGGCTCGTCCAGACCGCCTGGAGTTTCACTGGGGACCCAGGCCAGGGGCCACGTGGCTAAGGAACCACGAGATACCAAAGATGACGCCGAGGGTCTTGGGAACATCCGGGTCATCTGCGAAGGCCTGGGCGCCATCCAGGGGCAGGTGCACAACCTCAATGAGCTCGCCCTCCTCCGCCAGGCCCCCACCTGGGCCACCCTGCTGGGCATCTGTCACCTCTGCGTAGAACATGGTCTGGCTGGAGCTGGTCAGTCCCACACCGGACCTACGGGTGGAGACAGCGTCTGCTGGCCACCCCTGCCCCTCCCACAGCCCTTCTAGCCCCTGGTGGGCAGTGCTCCAGGACGCCCCCGGCCCCCCAGATTCCCCCCTGTAGTGTACACACGCCATGTAATCTCCTCCCTTCAAGTGTGGGGGAGACCTAGGAACATGTTGGATGTGACCTCCCACCGTGGTCAGGCTCCCGTGTGATGAGGCTGGGTCAGGTGATGGAGGAGGAGTTCTGCAGATTAATTAAGGGCCCTCATCAGGTGGCTTTGAGTTCATCAAGAGGGAGGCGACCCTGGGTGGGGCTGACGCAGTCAGGCAAGCTCCTCATTGCCGGTTTTAGGGGTCAGAGGTGGAAAGAGTCAGAGAGACACCTGAAGACGAGGTAAGCCACCATGCTGTAAGAGGGCCACGTGCCAGGGCCTATGGGCTAGGAGCCGACCACGGGCCCCCGGCTGACAGCCAGTGGGAGACAGCGCCCTCAGTCACAGCCACGAGGAGCTGGGAAGACGACCTCAGCCCCAGATTAGACCTTGGCCTGGCCAACGCCTGACCGCAGCTTGGCGGTCAGGCTGCGAGACCCTGAGCGGTGGGCCAAGTCCGCAGCAAGCAGACTGCCGACCCCCAGCAACCGCGAGGTTGTAAATGGGCGTCGCTGAAAGCCGTTGAGTCTGGCGGGTGGTTCTGCGCACCGACACTCTGCTCATGCTCGGCCTCAGCCAGGCCTCTCCCCGCACGGCGGGCCCCGGTTCGCAGCCGGGGCTCTGGCCGGCGCAGCCTGGGTCTGCGAGCACTCCCATGTGGGCACCCGCAGGACGCCTGTTCTGGGCTGGGTGGGGAGCTGGGGCTCACGGCGGGTTGCGGCGCGGTCCCCAGGGCCAGGACCAGGGTTCACAGGCTGGAGAGGACTGTCAAGGAGTCCCCTCCCTCCCTAGGTGGTGGCCAGGAGGGGGCTTCTGGCCACCAGGAGGGGGACAGGCACCCAGGCAGGGGGCAGGGGCCCAGACCGGTGCCGGGGAAGGTAACGAGTGGGCAGCCATGGTGACAGCTGGCCATGAGGACGGGGTGACAGACAGGAGGGGAGGGCTGAGCATGGTCTGCTGGGGGAGAGGGGAGGCAGAGGGTGTCTGGGGAGACGTCCAGGGGATCAGGGAGACCCCAGGCCATCCCAGGAGGTTAGCTGAGGCCAGCCGGGGCCTGCAGGGTGGACGCGGCGCCAAGGTGCGCCCCGCACATGGGACAGGGAGCAGAGCCGGAGGAGCTTCCCTCCCACTCCCCAAGCTCCCCACCCCCAGGCGGGGGCCCCACCCAGACTGACCTCACCCAGCTGCTTCCTCCACCCTCCCGCCCCTCATCTCCCTCGGACCCTTCCTGACAGCCCATTTCCGGCGGCAGCTACAGCCTGCGCCTTTGATGGAAGCAGCGGCCTGTGGGGTTTCCAGTCCCAGCTTCCGCCGGCATGTGACGGACACCGGCGCCGAGAAGAATGTGCCCGCCAGGCCGGGTACTGCCTCTCCCTGCTCACTCAATCACGTCCTCAGCTGGGGGATCTCAGACAAGCACTGGGCCTTGTCACCTGGGCCGGGCAGATGAGTGGCCTGGCTCCCCCCCGGGCCACGGAAGGAAGCCGTGGGCCCCACCCCAGGGCAGCGCAAGTTCCTGCTCATGCAGCCCGCCGTCGGGCTCCCAGGGAGAGCTGCCCTGGCCTCCACGCCAGCCCCGTCCGGCCCTGCCTCTGCACAGCCAGCCACCCTCACCTCGAAAGTGCAGTCTGAGCAGGCCACTCACTGTCCAGAGCCCTCCTTGGCACCCAGCACCCTCAGGATCAGGCCGTAGCCCAGAGGCCTGGGCCACTTGTCCCCTTGCCCCTGAGCCTTTGCCGTGCAGCGCCTCTGCCAGGACTTCCCCCAGACTCACCAGCTCGGGGGACCCCAATCCTCCAAGGCACCTCCACCTGCCTTCCTCCTGGCCTGCCCGCTGGCTCACCCCCTACCCGAGGTCAGGCCCCTTGGATCCTCCTGACCCCCCGGACCGCCAGCCCAAAGGCTCAGAGGCTACGTGGCCACTGGCCAGCCACGCGGAGGACGCCCGCAGGTAACTGAGGCCCCTCACCCCAAGATGTCTGGCTCTTTGGTGTAGAAATCCCATGCCTGAGTTCCCGGGACTAAAACTCCACCCCCACCCCCAGACCGGGGGCGCCTGGACGAGGCCCTGGGTGTCGCCGAGGGGGGCCCAGGCCCAACACTGAGCGGCCCCTTGCTGGGCCGAGGAGGGCGGATCCGCCTCTGGGGAAGGCCGCCAGGGGCTCAGCATCAGGGCGACACCGTGAGACTCTCCTGCTGCCCCCGGATTTCACCAAGGTCAGGGACCCACTGTGACATCCTCAGGCCAAGGGTGGGCTGCACCCCGACATCCTGTCCTGGGACGGGGGAATGAGGGGCGGGCTTTGGTGGGGGCGGGCCGCACTTAGCCCCCCAACCCCGGCCCAGGACTTGGCCTTTCCCTCGCCCCTGGGCCGCTGTCAGAGCAGACCTGTGACTCGCCACGCCCCCAGCGCCCGGCGCTTAATCCCACAGGAAGTAGAGGCACCTGTTAGCATCAGCTACCACCGGAGCCAGAGCCCGGCCGCCCCGCCCCGCCCCGCGGTGGAGGGCACGGGCCAAGCAGGTTGCAGGACTAGCCCCGAGGGCCCCGGTTCCCGCCCAGATCACGCCCTGAGGTGCGCTCCGTCCAACCTTCCCCCAGGCAGCTCGGCCCATCCCCTGGGCTGCGCTGGCGACAGACGGCCCTTCCCCAGCCCCGCAGGCCCATGGGCCCAGCCCCACTCACTTGTACGTGGCGACCCGGCGCAGGCCGGAGGGGGCCAGGTGGTAGCCGCACTCCTCCCACACTTCCTTGCAGGCCACCTCCTCCAGCGAGAGCCCGGGCTGGTCCACGAGGCCGGCGCACAGCTCGTATGTCACCCCTGCCGAGCCAGGCAGTGCCGGCTGCAGCTCCCGGGGCCTGTCCTGGTCCACGGCGGCCAGGGACCCCGGGAAGAGGCGCTCCACCTCGCCAGCGTACACAGCTGGTTGGGGGAAGGCAGACCGCAGTCACCGCCCTGTGGTGGCCAGCTCCACGTGACCCGCTCTGGCCAGACCCCCTTGCCGGGCCTCAAGTTCCTCTAGAGCCCTCTCCCCACGTCTGCACTCTGACCCTAGGACACCAGGGGCCTGAACGTGAGCCTGCAGGCCTCCCCTCCCCCCATACCCCACTTGGGCCGCCTCACCTGGCCGGAACTGCTTCACCAACACCAGGCTCCTTCGAGAAGAGTTGAACATGAGAATGGTCACACTGCAGGGGGAGGGACCCAGCTCAGCACAGAAGCAGCCCCCTCACCTCACCCCCCTGGGGGCCCAGCCCACCTCCTCTCCTCCACAACCCAGGAAGGTGGTGTCCCTTGCTCAGATGGGCAGACTGAGGCCCAGGACGGGTCACAGCTTGCCAGGGTCACACAGTCAGGCCAGGACCCAGGCCTCCTGTATTCCAGCTGGCAGGACGGGGGCCGGGGGGTGGGAAGGACATGCTGGGCAGCTGGGCAGGCCGGGGGTGGCAGCAGCTGAGGACGGGTGACTGACGGGACACGTGGCCCCTGCTGGCCAGCTGCCGCCAGCCACACTCCTGAAGCCACGCTGCCATCCAGCCCATACTTCTGACGCTCGGGGGCAAGGGCACCTGGGCAGCTTCTCTCAGGTCCAAGAGGTGGTCCAGGTGGCCTGAGCTGGGACCCAGCTCAGGCTCCAGGCCTCAGGCTGACCCCTCAGTGAGACGACAGGGAAAGTGGGGACTTCAGACACTCAGAGGCAGGTGGGGCTCTGTGCCCCTGGGCCCGGTGTCCCTGCAGACATCAGCCTGGGGCTTCCCCGGCGGCCAGCCAGCCTGGGCCCTCACCTGTCATGGGTCTTCATGAAGTCCCACGACTTCTGGGTACCATTCTGCAAGAGGCAGGGCAGCGGTCAGGGAGGGCTGAAGGGCTGGCAGCGCGGGTGGAGGTGCTCCAGGGAGCGAGAAGGCCACACAGACCCACCGTACCCGGCCAGTCATGGCCCGGGCCCATCGGGAGCGACGAGCTGCAGCGGGTGGGGCAGGGCGTAGCCGCCAGGGTGGGCAGGGAAGTCCAGGACAGCCTGATGCTCTCAAGGGGTGAGGCAGAAAACCGGGCCAAAGGGTGGGAAGGCGTCCCAGGCACAGCATGAGCCAGCACCCAGCACAAGGTGAGCACGAGAAGCTGCAGAGAGACGACACTGCCACCAAGTGCGGGAAGGGCCACGGGGGTGTGGGGAGAGGCGGGCGTGACATGTCCTCACAGTCAGGGCGAGGGGCAGGAGGGGTCCCAAGCGGGTAGAGCAGAGATCAGGTTTTCGTTGCTGAAGCTCCCTTGGGCCACTGGACAAAGGGCGACAGGAGGGCAGGAGGGGCAGGCAGGCCTCCGGAGAGCGCAGCAGCCCCGGGAGCAGCTGGGGAAGGGTGTGCCCGCGCCGGGCAGGAGCTCAGCCCGCAGGACGTGACGATTCAATGATGATGACTGGGCAGTGGATGACCCTCTCCCCGGCCCGGTTTCTGTCTCGGGCTGTCTGTCCTGTGTCCTGTGGTCCTGCTGTTCTGTCACTTCCTTCCACCCCCCTGCTCCCCGACCCTGGACGCCCCGTCCCAGCAGCTCCCAGGGCTCTGAGCAGCATTCAGTGAACAAAAGGCAGTGCGGGGGGCCGGGGCCTGGGCCAGCACCACCGGGGGCGGCCAGAACCGAAGCTTACGGGGCTCCAGCCGGCAGGGGGCATGAGGGGCCAGAACCCTGCCAGCGGGACACCGCTAAGTGAGGTAGGCTCCCGTCCTCCGGGCTGTTCCGCCTGGCCCTGACCCCTCCCCAAGGGGTCTCTGAGGATGGGGCTGGCCCTGGGGCCCTAGAGCCCAGCCCTGTGGACGCCCACCACCGGCTTGCTCAGCCACTGGGTCAGCCCTGCGCCCTGGCGAGCTGCTGGCCCCACACTTGGGGCCCTGTCCGAGCCACGAAACACACATGGATCTGAGCACCAGAGACACCGAAAGGGCAACCGGGGCTGCAAAAGAGGAAGGACACTAAGGAACAGCCTGTGTGGGGACTTCCTGGAGGAGGTGACACTGCACCAGGCCCCACAGAAAAGAAAGGGCATTCATTCCCAGCAGTGGGCCCTGACAGGCAGAGGCCCGCATGCCGGTCTGAGGGGAGCTGGGGACATTGGTCTGAGCTGGGCCTGAAGGCGGAGGTGATCTGGACGGGCAGGAGCCTCGGTTTTCAAGCAGGAGGGAGAGCCGATGGCCTGCCCTGTGCAGGTCGGGCTGCCCGGGAGGCCGTTGTGAGACACCACCCCCAAGAGGCAAGCCTGGGCCTGCCTGCAATCTGGCCACCCCAGGGCCAGCCACCCCCCAGGATGAGCTCCGGGGAAGGCCTGCCCCCCAGTCTGCCATGTGCCAGCTGTGCCCCCTGCCTCCCTCAGGGTAAGTGTCATCTCGTGCTGGTTTCAGGTACCCTCTTGGATCAAGATCAAAACATCTGTCAGACCCTCAGGTCCAGCCAAGGCAGGGTACAGGGGAAGGTCCAGAGGGGCCCACTGAGGCCCAGCCAGCCCCTCCCAGAGGGTCAGGACCCAGGCCTGGCTCATCTTCCAGGGCCCTGGGAGGGAGGTACAGGACTAGAGTTTAAACACATCCCCTCACCCTCAGAGCCACGCGGGTGCCCTGCCTCTGGCTGGTCTGTCTGTCCATCCACCAGGTCTCCCCTGGCCATGGGTGGCTACTGACCAAAGGCTGCAGATGCCCCTCAGTGACGTTCACCACCCAGCCCAGTGTCCCATGGCCCCTGGGAAACACCACCCCGGCCCCCAGCCTGTGTCCATCGCAGCCTACCACCCGCATGGGCTCAGCTTTGGTTACCAGCACCCATCCACACTCCACAGGAAGTGGGGGAGGGTGCCACAGCCATAGGCCACAGCGGTTACGTGCCTTGATCACCCTGTGCCCATCTGCTGCTGGCCCCAGAGCCCCAGCCCCTGGAGGCTGTGCAGCCACAATTCGGCATCCCTGCCCCAGGCCAACACCAGGGAAAGGGCAGCAACCTCCGTGTCCCTGCACTCTGCCCCTCAGCCAACCCTGGCTTCTGCCCCAGGCCGGTGCTGCCAACTTGGGTCCATCCTGGGGATAGGGATTCCCTGTCCCCTAGAGCCAACGGGACAGCAGCGACAAGGGAGGGGGAGGGGAGTGCAGCCTCTGTCAAGCTGGGCGTCGAGAGGGCTTCACAGGTAAGTGAGAGTAACGGGCCTGGGGAGGAGGGGGGGCCACAGGATGCTGCAGGCCAGGGACAGCCCGGCAGAGGGGCACCAAAGACCTGCCCACCTGTCCTAACTGAGGGGGCAGGGAGGGGCTGCACCAGACTCGGAGGAGTGCAGTCCTCACCTGGATGGCGTGGAGGGACTCGGTGGAGCGGCAAGCAAAAGGTGGGGGCCCGAACTGGACAAACAAGTGTTTCCTGGGAGCCTACTACTTGCACAGCGCCACGGGAGGCGGTGTGGTCCTGCACTCCCTTCCCGGGCCGGCAGGAGGAGGTGGCGCCCCGGCAGGTAGCCCACCTGGAGAGGCTCTCCAGGGCTCACTAGCTCCATCGCGGGCCTCCTCTGCCCAGAACGGAGACCACCAGGAAGCTTTCCCTGATCCCCGGGGCGCCCAACACGTCCCACCGCAAAAAAGGGCCGGGGCCCAGCAAAGCCTCCTTGGAGGAATGAGTGGTCCCCCAAGGTGTCCCTGCCCAGAGCCGGACGCTCAACGGGTCTGCGAACGCAGACTCACGGGCAGAGCGCTCGGCGAAGAGGCGGGGTCCGCGGGGCGGGGGCACGAGGCCATGGGCGGGGCCATGGGCGCGTGGGCGGGGTCCGGGGCGGGGTCCGGGGCGGGCGTCAGGCCGCGGAAGGCGCGGAAGGCGCGGAAGGCGCGGAAGGCGGGCTCACCTGGCGGTAGTGCAGCGTGAGCGGCAGCAGGTAGGGCGAGGCTGCGCAGCGGCCCACGGCCGCCCCTTCGATGCGCTCCATGGCGGCGCGCGGGGCAGCGCGGGCCCGGGGCGGACGCGGGCAGGGTCCGCTCAGGACTCGAGCGGGCGGGCGGGCGTGTGACCGGGCTCTGGGCATGCCCGGTGCGCGCGGGGCGGGGCGGCGCGGGGCGGCGCCGAGCAGGGAGGGCGGGCCCAGCGCGCAGGTAGCACCTGCCCCGGTCCCCGTGCAGGTGGGGGGCTCGTGACCGCGGGGCACTCCCGGAGTCGCGCAGGGTGTGAGCAGGGAGGGGGGCTCGCCAGGTGGGCCCCGCAACAGGGAGGGGGTCAGCCGAGTGTGCGGCGGGGCGGGGCGGGAGCAACTGGAGGGGACGAGCTGAGAGGTGACCGCCGGTGCTGGAGTCGGGGGGTGACTTGGGCGTCCTGGTTGGGGGGAGGGAGACGCAGCGCAGCTCTGGGGGAAGGGGAGATGAGCCGAGCGGACGCCTCCCCCACTGGGGCTGACCATACCCGGAGACTGGGTCGTCCGGGGCTGGGGCGGGCCTCCAGGGAAGGAGCGACTAGGCCCTGAAGAGAGAAGCTGGCAGTCCCAGCTGCCTCGCCGCCGAGCCCCGGGAGGAGGAAGGCAGAGGTGGATTCGGGGCTGCGCACGGGGTCCTGCGTGAGCCGTGGTGGGGAGAGAGTGTCTACACCTCTAGGGGCCCCTGGGTGGAGGGAGAGAAGGCTCTCAGAGAGGGCAAGGTGAGAGGAGCCTGAGTGGGGAAGGGAGAGGGACCAGGGTCTAGGCAGAGCCAGGCCCTCCCCGCGGGGCTCCGGCGGGCTGGCGGGGAGCTGGCCTGGGCCAGACTGTCCCCCTGCCCCGCCTGCCCCACTGGGAGGAGCTGCCACTCGCTGTCTCTGGGGCTGCCCCTCTTCCACCTCGGCAGGAACTAAGTGCTCTTCCCTCCCCCAAGAAGCCCCTCCCTGCTGAGGAAGGGCCCCCTCCTTGCTTGGATGTGGATCCCAAGGACCTGCTTCAAATGTGGCCACTGCCTCCCCAGGGACAGGCACAAATGGTGGGGTGGGGCAGCTGAGCCCTGACCTGCACCTGCTCTCTGAACTATGGCCCCAGGGGGGACAGCCCAGGTGGGCTTGAAATGGACTCCCATGTCCCCGTTATCCATTGCTGTGTAACAAAGCACCCCCAAAATTCGTGGCTTAAAGCCCCCCTTTGTTCCTCTCTGTCTTGGTCTGTGGATGGCCCTGTCTCAGCTGAGCGGCTCCCCCTTGGGGCTTCTCTGCAGTGTGGTCAGGTAGCAGCTGGGGTGGGATCTTCTGAAGGGGTGCATGTCCAGGATGTCTGGTGCCCTAGTTGGGTGGCTGGCTGGCCCTCTCCCTGAGCGTGGCCTCTCAGCGTGGCCGGCTTGGGCTTCCTGGGAGCACGGCGGCCTCAGAGTAGTGGGATTATTCCATGGCAGCTGCCCAGTCCATGGTCACGGGGCCAAGCTTCTCACGACCCATCCCGGGACGTCTGACAGCACTGCGTCCTATGGGCCAGAAAGTAAGTCCTGGCCACCCCAGATTCCGGTGGGGGGGGGTACTTCCCAAGGGTAGGAGACCTGGGACACATGGTTTATAAGGGCCATCGTAAGAGACTAGCCATCACCCCCGTAACTCTGTAGGGCAGTGCACTTCCCAGCCTTGGGCTGGCCACATAGTGTCCTGGAGGCCAGAGTGAGCATCCACCAGAGAGCCCATCCTGGAAGCTGGTCCCATCCTGCCCAACAGCCAGGCGGGCCTCTTCCTGCACACACGCGGGACCCAGGCTGTGCTCCCTCCCTCGAGCACAGGCCATTCCCTCCTGTGTTTGTGTGAAAATGGGAACCAGCCACAGAGCCTGCACAGCAGCGGCCCAGACCAAGGAGGAGCCTTGCTCCCAGCCCCTCCGCCCACTGGCTGGGCTGGCCCCGGGAAGCTGCAGCTCAGATGCAGGGAAGAACCAGCAGCTCCACAGAGCATCGTTTTGCCTACATTTGGAGGGAAGGAACATTTGACGTTGATGCAGGCTGAGACAGCTGGGAGCGTAGACTGCAGAACGTGTGTGCCTTCAGAATGTCAGCAAGGTGCCACCCCTGCAGGAAGCAGCCTGGCAGTTCCTCAGGCAGTTAAACAGAGTTACTGGGTGACCCAGCAATTCTGCTCCCGGGTGTCTATCCAAGGCTTCGAAACGGACTCAAACAGATAACTGGCAGTATTCACAATAGCAAAAGGTCAGAGCAAGCCGTGTCCATCAACTGATGACTAGATAAACAGTGTGGTCTAGCCACACAGGAGAATGTGACTCAGCCATAAAGAGGAATGAAGTTTTTCATTGCAGCACTATTTAAAATAGCCAAGACATGGAAGCACCTCAATGTCCATCAACAGACGAGTGGATAAAGAAGGTTGGTACCTATATACGGTGGAATATTACTCAGCCATAAAAAAGAAGGAAATAATGCCGTTTGCAGCAACATGAATAGACCTAGAGATTACCATACTGAGTGAAGTAAGTCAGAAAGAGAAAGACAAATACCATATGATATCAGTTATGTGTGGAATCTGAAAAATGGTACAGGGACTTCCCTGGTGGCTCAGTGGTTGGGAATCTGCCTGCCAATGCAGGGGACATGGGTTCGAGCCCTGGTCCGGGAAGATCCCACATGCCGCGAAGCAACTAAGCCCGTAAGCCACAACTACTGAGCCTGCGCTTGAGAGCCCACAAGCCACAACTACTGAGCCCACGAGCCACAACTCCTGAAGCCCACATGCCTAGAGCCCGTGCTCCACAACAAGAGAAGCCACTGCAATGAGAAGCCCACGCACCGCAACGAAGAGCAGCCCCCGCTCGCCGCAACTAGAAAAAAGCCCGTGCGTGCAGCAATGAGAACCCAACGCAAGCAAAAAAACCCACAGAGTTACAAATGAACTTATTTACAAAACAAATAGAATCGCAGATGTAGAAAACAAACTTATGGTTACCAGGGGGATGGGGCGGAGTGATAAATTGGGAGATTGGGATGGACATATACACACTACTATTTATAAAATAGGTAACTAATAAGGACCTACTGTAGAGCACAGGGAGCTCTACTGAATACTCTGTAATGACCTATATGGGAAAGAATCTAATAGAATGGATATATGTATGTGTGTAACTGAATCACTTTGCTGTACACCTGAAAGTAACACAACACTGTAAATCAAGTATGCTTCAATAAAAATGTTTTTAAAAAAGGAATGAAATTCTGACACGTGCTGCCACACTGAGGAGCCTTGAAGACGTCATGCTGAGTGAAAGAAGGCAGACAAAAGGTCCCACGTTCTATGATCCATTTATATGAAACGTCCAGAATAGGTAAATCCATAGGGACAGAAAGCAGATTGGGGGTTGCCAGGAGCTGGGGGAGGGGAGAACAGGGAATGAGTGCTTAATGGGGCAGAGTTTCCTTTCCGGGTGATGAGAATGTTCTGGAAATAGGGAGACTGGTGGTTACACACACTGTGAATGTGCTAAATGCTACCGAAGTGTACAAGGTAAGACGGTTAATGTGATGTGAATTTCAGTTCACTTTTTTTAAAGAAGGAAAAGTACATCAGTGAGACTGTTCCGGAGCATTCCACGCTGGCCGTGGACACCAGCCCCGTCAGCTGCAGTCCCGGGGCCCTTTGTGGTAGGTCGGGACCAGGCCCCTGCAGCCTAGCCATGGGCCTGGGGACAGGGCGCACGGTGGGGGTCTGGAGTGAGGCCTGGCGGGGCGTTCCTCAGAGGCAGAGGGAGTTCAGCCGTGTGTCTGGAGGGCTCACTGGGGGCGGGCAGCGTGGAACTGGGGCTCGGAGGGCATTAGGACAAGAACACGGCGCGGTCGAGGGGGTGTTCGCAGAGACCCGAGGATCCAGGAGGACGAGAAGGGCAGGATGGAAGAGGGTGCCACAGCCCACGGGGCAGCCAGCGGGCTGTGCTGGGCCCCTCGGAGAGCCGTGGAAGGCCCCAGACAGGGGCGCAGTGGTCGGGCTCTGCCTCTGGAAGGGCGCTGTGGCCACCCGGCCGGGGGAGCATGAGGCCAGTGGAGGGACTTGGGCCGTCGTCCAGAGCGGGGCGTGCAGGTGGCTGGCCTTGGGCCCCGTGGGGGCAGGTGCAGGCGGAGGTGGCTGGCTGGGGGACAGCTCGGGGGCGCCGGGGCCCGAGCCACGAGGAGCCTCTGAAAACCCGCCTCTGGGTTTGGAAATGGGGGGGCTTTGGAGACCCCGCCGAGCCGCATTCAGAGGTGCTCGGGTGCGGCCGGGTGAGCGCGGGCTGGAGACCCTCACCCTGAGCGTCAGTGCCCCAGGGCTGCCGGGACAGGCTGCCGCGAGCTTGGCGGCTTAAAACAGCACAGACTGGTTATCCTACAGCTGTGAAGGCGGGAGCTGTAGCGGGCCTCCCTGGGCTGAAGCCGAGGCACGGGCAGGGCTGCCTTCCGGGGGCTCCAGGGGAGAACCCCTTCCTGGCCTCTAACAGCTGGAAGCGGCCGCACGCCTCGGCTCCTGGCCCCTCCTCCACCTTCCCGGCCAGCGGCCAGCAGTCCTGTTCTCTCTAGGGCTCTGCCTCCTGCTGTCGCATCTCTACTCTGACCCCCCCTGCCGTCCCCCACAAGGACCCTGTGACGACACCGGCCTCCCCTATGACCCTGGATCCCCCTACCTCAGGGTCCTTCACTTAACTGCGTCTTTGCCATGTAAGGTTCCCCATTCGAGGGTTCTGGGAGTACGGTGTGGACGCGAGAGCCAGGGCGGGGTCCCGGCTGGGATTCAGTCTGCTGGACCCTGGCAGGACTGGGGGAAACTCCTGCTGGCCGCCGCCTCCCCTTCCTCTGTAAGAGGCAGGGACGAGGTCATCTACCAAGAGTGGGGCGGGTGGAGAGGGTGGGTGCACGTGGTTCCCATGGGGTCGGGGGCCTGGAGTCCTGGTTGCCTGGTGAGTGGGGCTTCCTACTGGCACAAGGCTGGAGGAGGCCCTCGGACGGCGCCAGCAGCCTGGGCAAGTGGACAGGTGGACATCGGCTTCCTCCAGGGCTCAGCCTTTGCCCAGAGGGGGTGACGGGGAGCCCGTGGGTCCAGAGAGGTGAGGATACT